CAGATTAAGCAGTGGAAGGCACGCGGCCGAGTGTCTGGATCCATCGAGAGCACTTTCGGTCTGCTCACTGCTGTACATTCTCACGTGAGTCATTCACTGTTGTCCCATTCTAAACATCGATCGTCAGACGAGTGAGACGGCCGACAGTGAAGGTATTATTCTCATGGGTTCTATGGCTCTCCTCAGACTCGTCACGTCTGTGTCCGATCTGTGGCAGAGACAAGGAGAAGAAGTCATTTCCATAGCTCAGATCGCGGAGCACATCGATTTCCCTCGGTCCATCGTTGAAGTTCGAAATCAGATCAGTCACCATCAATTACCAAAACTGAAGAAGTTGATACCCATGTGCATGGAGGTGAGAGATTCACCATCATCATCCGTCACGACATCACCGCGATGATGACACGACACGATAGGGACTGAGGTGGATCAAAAGTTATTACTGGGACAAACAATTTCGATTCTACAACCGTTCTACGGTACCTCTTCAAGAGAGCATCAATCAGTATATCTCAGACATGACCGCTCGATTCTCGAAGAAACCGAAAGAACATGTGATGATGGGTGATCGTCTCATCCTCTGATGAAACCATTCCAGATCCAACCGAAAGAGAGAGCGATCATTTGTTCAGACATCACCACCTTCTTAAACGGCCTGCAAGACGTCCACGATATCTTATCGGACGTCATCCTGAAGAAGAGCATCGAAACGTGAGAAAAAAATACGCGGGGAGCGGGATTCGATCTCACGCCTTCCCAGCATGCTAGAGTGGAAGGGCAAGAAGATCAAGGAGTGGAAGATCTGGACCGTTCTGGCGGATGAGATCAACAAGAGTCACGAAGGGTTCTTCCTCACTTGCGCGAGAAAGTGGGTTCACCACGCTTACGGTGAGAAGAATGAGACGAAGAGATGATGACGTGTCCAGCCATCCACATCGGTCACGAGATCTACATCGATGAGACGAGGTGAGTCACAGATATCGTTCGATGTGAAATGTGACACCGTGCAGGGATAGAGTGATGGAGTTGATGGGAAGTCTCAGTGTAGATTGCATTCAACACAGGTACAATTATGTTCAAGTTGCTTACGGTCCCATCCAACGTCACCTCACCGGAGTCGAGGTGATGATCGATCGCATCGTGAAACGAGATGATGACATGTCAGGTTCTCAACTTACGAGACATCGCCTTGATGTGCCTGAGAATGCAAGGCTGCTCATGGTGAGCCATCCATCACCGACTCGGTGACTCATCATCACCTCCAGGGTCATGCAGATGATGCAACTCATCCAATCAGACATCATCATCCTCTTCCCCCACCTCACGACGTCTGTAAATCTCGCTCTCCATTCAGAGCCTACGAACAAGAGGAAGAGGATACAAGAGGAGACAGATACGTCCTCTCGTTGGTCTCTGACCAATGGATGGATCGGAACACCTATGGGTCTGCACCGCGGCGGTAGTGCTCCTAATCCGGCTCAATTCACGTTGCCCATCGAACTGGACGAGCTGAAAGGGCCGAAGAGAGTCGAAGAGAGAGAGACGAAGAAGGAGAAGGGAGGGGAGAAGAAAGAGAAGGGAGAGAAGGAGACGATGGAGAAGGTAGAGGCTGTACCCGTGAAGAAGAAGAGGATACCCCTCATGATGGGTTGATGGTGGATAAATTTGTATCGAATTGAATGAGAGAATCAATGTGGTTGTAGACTTTCCCTCATTTGAGCATCACCTGCACCGCAGATGCGAGTACACACCAGCAATGTCCAAGACCTTCGTGGGTATTACCCTGAAGATCAAGGGAGTAGGAAAGAGGAAGTAAATGGAGAGTGTTTCAAATCATCGATCATGAATTCGTAATGGGATGGCGTCTCTATACGGTAATTTGGTCTGCACACGATATTCGTGTATTCTCACTCGCCGGATGTAGATAACTGATTGGGCTTCTGTTGGTGAGGATTGTAAGGCAACTCATGTTGGCTCGCGGAACGATTTGTGTTTCTACTCCGCGCATTTTATTCTGAAGGACATTTATTCTGCACGACACAATCATCTTCAGAACCGAGATCATCTTTCCCCACAGAAGAAGGGAGGACTGATGACGGACGGAATCATCACGAGTCACGATCTTACCCGAGCCATCTTACATGCAGTGCTGAACGAACGTGTTGGATCACAGATCCAGCTACACTGGAAGAGGAGACGCTTCTGCCCTGAGTCTCACAGCTCGAGGAGGGAACAATTTGCCATCCTTCGTAGCACGTGCAAGTTGTGGAAAGACATCGGTGAGAAGGTGACCCAAAACATTCTCCTTCTCATCACATCAGTGGACGGCTTCACTGACTGGCTGGCCGACTACGATCTGTTTCTGGCAGTCAGAGGCTGCAAGATCGACTCTCTCCGCTTTCTCTTGACACGCACTGAGTTGGACCCATCCATACAAGACGATGCGCATCTCAGAATGGCATCTCGTGATGGTTCGACCGAGATCGTGCGGCTACTCTTGTCTGATCCTCGTGTGGATCCATCGGCATGGAATAACAAGGCCATCGTAGAGGCAGCCGCAGGCGGTCACATCGAGATCGTGCGGCTGCTCTTGTTCGATCCTCGTGTAGATCCATCAGCAAGGAATAACAAGGCCGTAGTAAAGGCGGCCACAAAAGGTCACGCTGAGGTAGTGAGGCTACTCTTGTCCAATCCTCGTGTAGATCCATCAGCAGAGAACAACGAGGCCATCTCAAAAGTAGTTGAAAAAGGTAATACGAGGGTAGTAAGGCTTCTCTTGACCGATGACCGTGTGGATCCATCAGTACAAGACAACCAGGCCATACAGATCGCACCCGAGAGTGGTACATCTGAGTTGATCAGTCTGCTCTTGGCCCATCCAAAGGTCGATCCGTCAGCAGGCAACAACAAAGCCATCAGACTGAGTATCATGAATACACGCAACCCACAAGTGGTGGAGCTTCTCTTGGCAGATCCTCGTGTAGATCCATCGGCAAGTAATAACCAGGCCATCCGCTATGCTTGCCACTATGGCCGCTTCGAGATCTTTCTGGCGCTCTCATCAGACCCTCGTGTGGATCCATCAGCGAATGACAACGAGGCCATCAGGAATGCCTCACAATACGGCCACGTTGAGATCTGCCGTGCACTCTTGGCAGATCCTCGTGTGAACCCGGCGGCGCTTGACAACGAGGCCATTCAATATGCAGCAATGAGGGGTCTCACTCAAATCGTAAAATTACTCCTATCTCGGTCGATCGATCCATCCCCACGAAACTACGGGGCCGTGACAGAAGCATCAAGAGAAGGACACGGTAAAATGGTAAAGCCGTCAGAAGGCGTGGAGAGAGCAAGTGACCATTGGACCATCAGAACCGCAGCACACAGTGGACCTTCCGTAGTGGCAGACAAGTATTTGGGAACTTATAGGGTGGATCCAACTGCACAAGACAATTGGGCCGTCCGAATGGCATCACAGAATGGACATCACGAAGTGGTAGAGCTTCTTTTGGCAGACCCTGGCGTGGATCCATCGGCGATGGACAACCAGCCCATCAGGGAGGCAGCATCGAGGGGGCATCATCAAGTGGTCCGTCTTCTTCTGTCTCATCCTGCAGTGAATCCGGCCGTACGAGACAATTTTCCGCTGAGAATTGCATGTGAAAATTATCGGACCGAGACAGTACGGTTGCTGCTGGCCGACGACCGTGTAGATCCGTCAGTATATCACAACTGTCTCGTCACAAATCTGAAGGAAGAGCATGAGATAGTAGACCTTCTCTTGGCCCATCCTCGTGTAGATCCATCTGAAAAGTGTCAGGAGGCCATCAAACTGGCATCAGACAGAGGCCATGCCAAAATAGTGCGGTCACTTTTGGCTGATCATCGAGTGGATCCATCGACAGACGACAACTACCCTATCCGCGCAGCAGCGAAGAGAGGATATGCCGAGGTGGTCGAGCTTCTGTTGTCTCATCCTCTCGTGGACGCATCTGCACAAGATGGTGCGGCCTTGAGAGAAGCAACGGAAAGAGGACACACAAGAGTGTCACAGCTGCTATCAGAGCACGAGCAGAAGAGGTCAGCGAAGAGAAAGAGATAAACATTCTTGATCATGTTAAGATCGGATTGGTGTGCTCAGTCGAGAGACTTGAGACCCTCTATCTTTTCCTGCAGATCATTCATCTTCCGCGAGATATCAGTGATACTCTTGCGAGCCGGTTCTCCTGGCTATCTCTATATCAGACCGTGGCCCGCAGGATAAGTTTTCTTCCAATTCTATGACAGTTCCCCACAGCGGACCATTAGGTGGGTCTCGAGGTGTCGGGGGTAATTCTGCTGGATTGCGGTCATACGGGTTTCATCGATCGTGATCAATTGAGGATCCTCTTGATCCTCTGGGCGTGGATGGTGAGCCAGGCCCTGATGTGCGGGTTCAAGCGTCTCGGCATTTAGTTTCATGCTGCTTTATTGCGGGTCTACTGCTTCTGCTGGTCTTGTCCGTTCGGTTCTCGCTATCTTATGATCCTCTCCTATTTGATAACTAGCCTCGTCGACATTCGGGTTCACAGCCCAAAGTTCAAATTTGTGCTCGCTCAAAGTAAATTTTTGGGCCAGCCCAATACATGAGGGAAACAACTTGCACCTTTCGACCCTTGATGTCACCTCCGTCTGGCTACCGTGCTGACCTGTGAGTATCACGAAGCATCTCCTGAAAGTGATGAATGGACACTGAGTCGGGATGATTGGATGATCGAAAGACGGTGTATTTTTTCGTTGCATTGATCGCTGTGTCAACAATAAAGATGCTGCAAACCTATTCACTGCTCTACGTCACCACCAAACTCTGACATGGTCTGACCTAAGGTGATCACGGTTGGCGTCGGAATTAGGATGCTTGAAGGATGACCATTGCAAGACGATCGACCGTTCAGACCGTTCCATCCTCCCTGTTGTTGGAGTTTTCGGGCTTGGTGATCGAAATTTCGCATGAAAAAAAGAGGCCATACCCGGATTTGAACCGGGGTTTCAAGGATCAGAACCTCGCGTGCTGACCGCTACACTATACGGCCTTGGTGTCTTTCGCAGTTAATTCGCAGTACAGGATGGTATAGGCGTGCTCCAGACATGAAGTAGGACACACATACAACACGGCCTCTTTATTAAGGTAGGTCTACACCGGAGGTGTGGACGATCTCGATGGTATCGATAGACATCTGGATCTCAATCTGCTGCCTCAAGATGGCGTTCAACCACTGCTCACGTTCAATTTGATTTTCAACTCACACTCACCATGTGCATCTCTTCTAAAGATTTGGCCTGCAGAATGGCCGATCCTTCACTGGACTTCACCTCGAAAGACCTTCCACTGTCATCGTTACCGTACTCGGACATCGTGCAACCGTAAAGCGCCAGCTTATCGATGGGTGCTCCAGTCTGCGACGATCATCAGCGGTCGTCCTCCATCACGATGATGATGATGGGACGGATGAGATCATCGTCACCCTTCTGCCTCTGTCGTCCGATTTATAAAAGAAGAGGACACCTCCCCTGAGCGTGAGATAACGATCTTTCCACCCGAACATCTTCTTGTGCCGTAAGACACCCTCTCTCGTCTGCAACGTTTATCAACAGATGGATCTCTATCTAATGATTCACCTCGAAGCGGTGGCCTCTCGTTGCCTTCTCTTGTTCTTCTCTCTCCCTCTTCATCTGTTGCATCAAAGACACATTGCTCAAGACTATTGTAGTGAGTATCATAGAAATGTGACCGAATAGAACTAACCTTCGATCCAGCGGAACATGTCTTCCGTGGTGTGAGTACGTACGGAGTACGTACCTCCGTTCGTGACGATGGTGAACTCGTTGTACCTATTCATCCGTTTACATCTAAAAATAGATCATCTGTCTCAGTCACCTGCTGTGCATATCCGGTTGTACCTCGTCGATCACCTCGAAAGACAAAGTACCTGTCGACACGATCAAAACGTCGTCGACGAAATTTCCGCAAAATCTCCTCACCCGTCGGTCTCTCTCTGCCTCCTGATGGCTGTGACTTCCAGTAGAGAAGGTTGTCATCAGTCAGGCATGCGTAACGCTTCTTCCACCTCGCCAGTAGACCTTGCTCTTCTCTCAACAGAATCCATCCTTCTACGCTCGTCTCTACACCACCGAAAGACAATTGTTTCTGTGGCTGTGGTGCTCTCTGCTTCCATTCAGATGTCAACGCAGATAGAGGAATAATAGTGAAAGATTATTTCTTGAACAAGGATGAGAGAACTCTTACTTCAGAGGAAGAGAAGAGATTGAACCGTGGCTTTTCCTCTGGTTTCTCGTGTGCCCTTCTCTCTTCTTCCTTCTTCTCTTCTTCTCTCTTCTTCGCCTCTCTCTTCTTCTCCTCTTCCTTCTTCTTCTCTTCTTCTCTCTTCTTCACTTCCTCTCTCTTCTCTTCTTCTCTCCTCTTTGCTTCTTCTCTCTTCTCCTCTTCTTTCTTCTTCTCGTATGCCAACCTCTTCTTCTCTTCTTCTCTCTTCTCTTCTTCTTCTTGTCTCCTCTTCTGCTCTTCCCTCTTCTTCTTCTCTTCCTCTCTCTTCCTCTCTTCTTCTTCCACTCTCTTCTTCTCCTCTTCTCTCTGTTTCTTCGTCTCTTCTTCTCTCTTCTTCTCTTCTTCCTTCTTCTTCTTCTCTTCTTCTCGCTTGGACGCCTCTGCCTCTGCCCTTCTCACCTTCGCTTCTTCTTCTTCTCTCTTCTTCTCTTCTTCCTTGTGTCTCTCGTATGCTCTCTTCTTCTCTTCTTCTCTCTTCTTCTCTTCCTCTTTCTTTCTCTCCTCTTCGTCTGCCACCCTCTTCTTCTCCTCTTCTCTTTGTTTCACTTCTTCCTCTGCTCTCTTCTTCTCCTTCTCCTTCTTCACTTCTTCTTCTCTTCTCACGGCCTCGATTCTCTTCTCTTCTTCGATCTTCTTTCTCTCCTCCTCTACTCTCTTCTTGCTCTCTTCTTCTGTTCTCTTCTTCTCTTCCTCTGCCTTCTTGTTCTCTTCTTCTGTTCTCTTCTTCTCTTCTTCTGTTCTCTTCTTCTCTTCTGTTCTCTTCTTCTCTTCTTCTGCTTTCTTCTTCTTCTCTTCTTCTACCTTACCACTCTCGCCCTGTACAATCTCAGTCATCATCAAAATTTCATCGAAATCTCACGGCTTCTGTGACGGGCACCATGGCAGAGCCACATTTCTTACAATATTTACCACCCGTCACTACAATCTTACAGGGAATGCATTGTAGTTGACGATTCAGCGTACTCGTACGCAGACGTTCTGTGGCAGGAGATAATACTGTCTGTCGAATGGTTTGAGATGTTTCGATCGAAATCGACTCACTGTCTTGCGAGCGGCTTCTTCTTTCATCTTCGCTTCAGCCTCCTCCTTCGCCTTCTTCTCTGCCTCCGCTTTCTCCTTCTTCTGTGCCTCTTCCTTCGCCTTCTTCTCTGCCTCCGCTTTCTCCTTCTTCTGTGCCTCTTCCTTAGCCTTCGCTTCCGCCTCAGCTCTCGTCCTCTCTATTTCTTCCTTCGCCTTCTTCTCCGCCTCTGCCTTTGCTTTACTCTCCGCTTCTGCCTTTGTTCTACTCTCCGCCTCTGCTTTAGCCTTCTCTTCTGCTTGTGCCTTCGCCTTCTTCTCTGCTTCTTCTCTCGCCCTCTTCTCAGCTTCTTCTTTCGCCTTCCTCTCTGTCTCTTCTTTCGCCTTCTTATCAGCCTCTGCCTTCACCTTCTTATCAGCCTCTGCCTTCGCCTTCTTCTCTGTTTCTTCCTTTGCCTTCTTTTCTGCTTCTTCTCTTGCCTTCTTCTCGGCTTCAGCCTTTGCTCTCTTCTCTGCCTCTTCCTTTGCTCTCTTCTCGGCTTCTTCCTTCGCCTTCTTATCAGCCTCTTCCTTTGCTCTCTTCTCAGCTTCTTCTTTCGCCTTCTTCTCTGCTTCTTCCCTGGCGTTCTTCTCCGCCTCTTCTTTCAATTTCTTCTCAAGCTCCTGTACCACGTTAATCCTCTCTCTTCTCACGCATTCTCGTTGTAGTGTGACAGATCACAATGTACATCCCATCACCTGTGCAGCCTTGGCATCTTTAGCAGCCGTATCACTCTGTCGTCTGTCAGAAATTTCCTGATTTTTCATCGATTTTTCCCACCTTCTCTCCCAGAAAGCTCCCAGAAGGTGAACTCGGCCCTACTATCATCAGCAACCCAAAACAATAAATCCAAATAAAATCATCCCACCTTTTTCGACGAAGAAGCTGCCAGGTTGCGATGCCGTTCCTTCATCTCTCAGTCTCCTTCTCTTGTCGACAAACTCACCCTTATGCTTGACGATCGTCGGTCGACGTTTCTTAGCTCCAGCCGGTCGATTTTTCGTCAGGGAGACTAATCTGGATTCACCAGCGTGAAGTTCTGAACAGGATTGACAGAACGGTTGATTATCTATCAGGACACTGTCCGTCTTCGAATTAAGAGGACGATCGCAAGTGTGACACGTGAAGCAGCTGGGAGGAGTGAGGGGTGGGGTACGTAACGTACTTACGCCTTGTGATATTCTTTGTGGATGATACTGAGCTCGACGGTGTCGTTACCCAAAGGTAGATTACACTTTGAACAATTGGCTGCCTTCTCCTGAGATGGAGGTGAGGACGATCTCATCATGATCTCATCATTATGATGTGATCAAGGTCATGATCTCATCAAGATGATCATGTCAGAGGTGATGATGGTGTCGCGAATATAAGAATGACGCCATCGTCTTCGACGTCATGATGCCGGAAAAACATCGGATCAATCACCTCTCGAATCGATTGCTTCTTGACGAGCGTCGACTGAAGGTTCGCTCTCACTTTCATCTGATTCTCCAACATCCTCTTGGCCGCCTCCGCTTTATCTGATAGAGAAGGGCTGGAAAAAATGACGCCGGGAACGGGATTCGAAACGAGGTCACTCACCTCATGACCTTGGCTGGGGGAGCTGCGGCGGGTGATGGTGCGGCCGCTGCGGTGGGTGCCGCGCTGATGCTGGCGACACCTCCGCCCTTGTTGTTACCGGCAAATCGATGGTAGTACTGAGACAGGTAGGTGATGACGGAGAACATCTCTGGTACGGGAACGCACAGCATGTCATCAGCCTCTAATAAGGCGGGGATGCCTGATGGAACCATCGTCAGAGACGATCGCGATCGATGGACGAGAGATGGGATCGGATGCGGTGATGATGGAGATGGTCGATCTCACCGATACGATCGCCCACGGAAAAGGCCAAGTTGAGATTGTTCTTCGCTTCACTCTTTTTCAACGAATCGAAATTGAGAGTCGACGGACCTTGAAGACGTGTGAGACGTATGGAATATGAAGTTGAGAGAAGGACTCGATGATGCGACAGAGGTGAAGATGTTCGTGATCGATTTTTTTCAGAGGATGATGTCGCTGATCAAAACATGAGGTAATCACCCATGAATTTGTGGATGAGAGCACAGAATGCGAGCCCATCTCTCCAGCTACTTGTGAAGTCGGATACCTTGACATCTCGATAACCTACGAAATCGTCAGATGATACACTATGTCAACGAATAAATGAGATCGTTTCAGTTTTCATCCCCCATGATGTCTCGTCACAGTAGGTGGTTTCACTTCCGATTCATCGGGAGCGATAATGCCTGATATGCGGCCCGATGATGGATCACCTGCAGTATTGTTCTTGCACCATATCAATAGAGCTTCCTTTCCAGTAGCCCTACTCATTCCACCACGTTCGCTCTCTTCGCACTGAGGTGGATCAGCTGTGTGACACATGACATTCTACAAGGCTTCCATTTCCATTTTCACCCGTCTATAAAACTGTGGATGTTAATTCTTATCTATGAATGAGGGACGTTCCCTCCAATAGTGTACTGCGTACAGAATGTCTATACCATACGATTGAACTTCAGCGGAAATCAATGTAAGAATATTACTCCTTCCTGCTCGCTACCTTGCAGGTCTCATCCAAGGGCTAACAGTCCCGTTAGGCAGGCGGAGTAGATCTGTGCTTGAATAGAGGAGGTCATAATGAACGAAGT